TTCACTGCCACTGTAAACTTTGAATGGTTGCTAAACAAATAATGGTAAACCAAGGATTACCTGTAATGGATGTCAGAAGGTGAAAAATGCCAGCACCATCTGAATTAGTCCATAGCCTTCACATATAGAAGATGCTGCTGTAGTGTTACTCAAGGTGCTGATTTCATGACAAGATTCAATACCTGGGTGATGAATTGAAGAAGGCATCATCTTCTTCTTTTAACTTTAGCAGCAAAGTGTCTTGGCCTTGCCCTAATCCAACATCCTTCTGGATGTTTCTGGATCCTACTCTATAAGCATGTCCCTTATATTAGAATTCTATAGCAATTCACAGTATCTTTTTTTTTCAGTTCCAATATTGAGTTTGGAAATTGATCCTAAAGTATGACAATAACCTTAATGAGTTGAAAGATGCACCACACAGCTTCCACATGTAATTAACACCCCTTTGTAACTGGTAATTAGGACTCATAATTATTTTTACATTGCAATTCTTCTCATAGACATGCTATAAAGTCAAGAATGTAAAAACAATATAAAACTGGAAATATATATATATATATATATATATATATATATATATATATATAATAACAAGTAATTTGAAAGCTGCATTTTCTGTTTCTGATCTCTCAATGAAAACTGAAATTAGCATCTATAGTGAGGGAAATATACACTATACATACTCAACAAAATATTTTATCTATTGGAAATCTAAATCTTTCTACACTCCCCAATTTACAGATCGATGGCCCCCAGTTCAAATTATAATCTAGAAACAGTTCTTGCTACTAAAAAAAAAACCCTATCACACTCCTCACAGCCTTCTACACAGGGTTATAAGCAAACAAATATTCCTAGGGTACCCAAAACTGAATCAGCTAAAAATTCCTTTACTTGAATCTCATCTTTAACAGGGGCCTTATATTAATAAGCAATCATTTCTAGAAGAAATAGAGAGACTCTATGGACAGAGTGGACAGAGGCACGCTCAGTGGCAAGGGAAAAGGCACTCTAGACATGCTTAGGAGCATTCTGCTTTCCAGATTGCAAATTAGCTTTGTTCCTTCATCGCCGTCAATCCTGAGCAATCATGTAATCATCATACAGAAAAGTGCAAGCTATTTTTTTCTGGGGAGGAGGGCGCTATGCAAAGAATATAAATGCGGGAGAAGGTTGAGCGGCCCCAGGACATTTCTAAGACCCCAAATCAACCCTAAGATATCACAAACCAGGAATCTCCACCTTGGGAAGTGTCCCAGCCTTCTCCCCTGACCCAGTTAGCGACATTACCCCATTGCTCTCCATTGCCGCCGCCGCCGCCGCCGCCGCCGCGATCTTGGGCGGGAAAACCGAGCTCCGCTTCCTTCTCTCCCTGGCAACAATCTTAGGAGGGCCGCCGGGAATCGTCCGAGCATGCTCGGCTCAACTCCGAGCATGCTCAGGAGGGGCGATTGACGCCCTGCCTTGCCCTTACTTGGGCGCTGTTTTAGCAATGGGCTCTGTTTCTGCCTACCCTGTAAAGGTGTGCCACTTTTCTTTCGGTAAAACGTAGTAGTAGTAGGAGGAGGAGGAGGAGGAAGAGGAGTAGTAGTAGGAGGAGGAGGAGGAGGAGGAAGAAAGAGCAATATTTTGATTTTGAAAATTCAGGAATTATCCTTGTGAAACAAGCAGCCAGCCTAACATGAATAGAACATGCTCAGTGGCTCCCTACGAAACCGATGCTATTCCCCCGGCTCGGACTCAAAGTTTAGTTCGATTTTCTATCCCAGCGGAAAACACGTAAGGCTCTACGAAGCAAAAGCAAAAGCGAATCAGCTTTAGGTATTAAATGAGGCTTTGGCAACGCAAAAACCTGGTTGGCGCTGAAGACTGCATTTAGGGAACAACGCGAAACGCAGCTGAGGTTTCTGCAGTAGCTACAAACAGCAGCTAATCCTACCCAAGATCTACAACAAGATTCTTGGCTAATAATATACCATTCTGGGTTTGTTTGTTTTTTTGAAATTTCAATCATAAATAAACGCTTTTATTTATGTGCGGAAATAAACCCGATTAAGTTCAGTAATATGCCAGGATTGCCGCCAGGAAAAGCGAATCCGGACACATCAAATCCCGCGTGGACTGGATTTTAATCCCAAATTAAGCGCGCAGGGAATAATAACAGATGTAAATATATAAAACAGCCCCGCGATCTGTTTCTATTTGTAACTGTAAGCCTTTTTTTTTTAACCCGTAAGCCATGCTAGGAGTTTTTTGGCGGAAGGGGCAATGAAATAATAAATGCTTGAAATAGGTTAACTCACCGTCAAGTGCACGGCTGGCCAGCCGCCAGGGAACCTTCCATATGTCGCTTCCCCGGGGAAAGTGCGGGAGGTGACGAAAAATCCCGTTAATACATTCCTTTAATAAATCAGAGACGATCGGCTCCATTTTTCCAATCTATCAAACTGCACCTTTCCGGTGCAGCCTGGTCCTTTTCTTGGCCAAACAGTCTCCAGCCGAGATTTGAGCAGGTTTCTCGGGCTGAAGGAGCCCCCAGTTATGCTGACTTTCCGCCTCAGTCCTTAATTTGGCTGATTAGGAAAAGCCCGAAGCTCTCCGGCTCCTTGAGTTGCTCCAAGTAGGCGAGGAGAGGGAGTGAAGCCGGAGCATAGTTCACTGAGGGGAGTCTGAATTCTTGAGAACGTTTCCAGGATTTGAAACATCATTCCCGCTCTCTTCCGCTTGGAGGAGGGATGCTTCAGGCGCGTCAAAATGCTTTGAAGAATAGAATAGAATAGAATAGAATAGAATAGAATAGAATAGAATAGAATAGAATAGAATTTTTTATTGGCCAAGTGTGATTGGACACACAAGGAATTTGTCTTGGTGCATATGTACAGAAAAGAAAAAAGAGCAGAGGAGCCCTTCTCAAATTAAGCCCTAGAACCATTCTCTCTCTCTTTTTTTTTTTTGGAAAAGTTTTTCAGTTTTATTTCTTATACATATAATATAAAATGTACATTTTCTTATATATAATTAATCCTACATATACATGTTTTCCTTAAAGAAAGCATTAAAATAAGGCATTTTAATTACATTCGGAGTTGCTCTTCTACCCTTTCTTCCCTCATTTCGCAACAACCCTTCTTCTCCTCTTTCCCTTCCCTCCCTCTTCTCCTCTCCTACTTTCTCTTCCTTTCCCCCACTCCTCTCTTCTTTCCCCCCTACTCATCTTCTCTCCTACTCCTATCCCCTACCCTTCCTTCCTCTCCTTTTCCCTTTCTTCCATTCCTCTCCCTCCCTCTCCTCTTCCTACCCTCTACTCCTCTCTCCTTTCTATCTTCTATCTTCTTTGTTGTGGAATATTCTCCTTTGGTATCCCAACAACTGCTGTATTCTAATAGTATATACTTTCTTTCTATTTCTTTTCAGATCTATCAGTATTATCATCATAATTGTACACTTATTCTTTTTTTTTTTAATTTAATTTATATGCCGCCCTTCTCCGAAGACTCAGGGCGGCTTACAATGTGCTCAGCAATATTGTAAGATAATATTCTTATTATCTTCTTTCTTTTCTCCCCTCCCATCCCCCTTTTTCATTTACTCTGGTGTCAGCCCTAGAACCATTCTCATTCATTGTCTAAAACAATTCTCATAAATCGATTCACAATTTGTTATTTAAACTGTTTAGAATAACAGTTGGAAGAGATCTTGGAGGTCTTCTAGTCCAACCCTGCTCAAGCAGGGTTGGACTAGTCCAACTCTGCTCAAGCAAGAAACCCTATATACCATTTCAGACAAATGATTGTCCAATCGCTTCTTAAAAACCTCCAGTGTTGGAGCACCCACAATTTTTAAAGGCAAGTTGTTCCACTGATTAATTGTTCTGTCAGGAAATTTGTCCTTAATTCCAGGTTGGTTCTCTCCTTGATTAGTGTCCATTTATTGTTCTTTGTCTTGCCTTCAGGTGCTTTGGAGAATACGGTAGGTTGACCCCCTTTTCTTTGTGGCAGCCCCTCAAATAATGGAATCATATCACTCCTAGTTCTTCTTTTCATTAAATTAGACATATCCAATTCCTGCAACAGTTCTCCATCACACAGAATTGTTGTGTGGAAAATAGGAGGAAGTTGACTTGGATATGTTCACAGCTTTGAGTAATTTGCGTAATTATTTTCTTATGAGATAAGATAAAACAATACATGAAACCAATAGAATAAACCCAAATCATAAGGATATCAGCCCAAACTACCAGGCTGGCAAGAGGTCAAGAAGATCAGGGAGGGACTCTAATGAGCAGCAGAGTGGTCTGCAAACTAATAACTCATAAGAGAGCAAGTTTGGGGTAGTGATTAAGGCACCAGACTAGAAAGCTGGACACTATGAGTTCAAGTCCTACCTTAGCCATGAAAGCCAGCTTGATGACTTTGGGCAAATCATTCTCTCTCAGTCTAATTTCACAGAGTAGTTGTGAGGAAAATAGGAGCAGGAAGGTAAATTGGATATGTTCGCTGCCTTTGTAAAATTAACAAAGGCAGGATACAAATAAATAAGCTTGTTGCGATGGCCCAACCTCATGCATTGGGACACTGAGGAACAGAAAGCTTGGTCACTTGTATTGCTTTCAAAGCCAATAGTTGGAAACATTTTCTTTTATGTTTCAGATAGACTATTCCTGTCCTTGGACACTTAATCAAATATTGTTTTTCCTTCTTCCTTTTCACCATTACCAAATGCCATGTTAAGGGACAAAGATGAAACGTAATAAACTTGAAACCCAGTAAACGTGTTCTCATGATCCATTTAGGATTTTTTTAAAAAAGTAAAACACAGGTAAAAGATTTAAAAAGTCACACACCTTTACATTTTATTTGTTATTGGCCCACATGGAATCAACAATGCTGAAATATTTCTGTGTAAAGTAAATGATGTGATTATTGATAGAGGATAAAAGGCAAATTTGTCTTGGAGGCAGCCCAGGGATACAGCGGATTAGACAATAACAGTTGGGAAAGCAAAAATGTGCCTTTTGCCTACGGCTGAGAGAAAATGACTTGCCCAAAGTGATCCAGCTAGCTTTCATGGCTAAGGTAAGACTTGAACTCACATTCTTCTACTTTCCAGCTTGATTCCTTAGATCAAATTGGCTCTCATTACAAATTTGTTTATTTTCTTTGGCTTTAAGAGAAAAGAAAGCAAGTATAGCACATATTTAGCATCAACTAGTCTCATCTTTATAGTTTCAAATGCATTATTAAGGATACATCCATTAGAATGCAAAAATCACTTAAATTTTGCTATACATTATATGCTAGCTTCAGATCTTCTGAATCACATTTCTTAAACTTCCTTATTACTGACCATATACAGTATAAGCTTTCTGTTGCTTCATCATCTAGACCAGGTTCGTCAAACTCGCTTCATCATGGCAGCGTCACGTACATATCACAACTTTTCCCCCTTTGCTAAATCAGGCGTGGGCATGGCCAACGCCTAACACATCCAGCCCATGGGCCGTGAGTTTGACAGCCCTGATCTAGTCAAACTAGATCTAGACAATTCCTTTGACTCCTTTTAAAAACATGGCATTCCTTTCTCAAATTCTCTTTTCTATATAGAGTTATAAATCGTTAACTTTCATACAAGCAAACTTTATACATTTATGAAAATCAAAGCTGTAAACATGGCAGCAATACTTATCCACGCATTCCATTCATTTCCAATAATGCAGTTTACAAATAGAAACGCAGAATGGGGCTAGCATTACTTTTAATATAATTTGCACTGGAGTTTGGGAAACAAGTTTCTGCTGGGTTGTGGATTTGCATTTTCTTCCTCTTAATTAGCACAGGTGATAAGTAAAACAGTAAGTTAATCAAGAATTAATTGAAGAAACCAGCTGACTAAAGTTAGGACTGATTAAATGATTACCAGACTGTCCTTGCAGCACTGACAAATTACAGACAGGAAAACATTTGACCAAGACACTCACACAAGATTTTCAAAACAGAACTCTTATCCTATTTCTTGGGATAAGGGAAGGAAAGGAAAAGGAAAAAAGAGGTTTCTCTCCACATCACCTTGCTGGCTAGGCAAGCCAAAGTGGAAAAAATATTCCTTATAGCTTAGTTTTATTAAAGTGATTTAAATCAGCAGTCCCCAACTTTGTGGGGACTTGATAGCTGGCTGGTGGGAGGGGAGAGGGGAACCAGGCCGTATGAGCTGTGGGCTGGCGCACACGCATGCGCACACAACTCGATTCCTGTGAGTGGCAGACCAGCACATATATGCATGTACATGCACAACTATGCATGTACAATTTGACTCCCACGAGTGGCGGGTCAGCGAGCATGTGTATGCACACACAGCTGGCTGCAAGTTGAGCTGTGCAAGCCTGTGTGTGCACGCCAGCCAGCCACTCATGTGGCCCAGTTGCAGATTGCATGGCCTAGGGGTTGGTGACCCTGATTTAGAGGGAAGAAATGTTTAGCAGTTGCAAAGGGTCAGAATAGGCTGCAGAGCAGGGGTGAAATGCTCTCAGTTTGGACCGGATCACCCGATCCGGTAGCAATGGTGATGGGTTGTTCGGAGAACTGGTAGCAAAATTCCCTGCCCCCCCCCATATGCAGCTGAGCCACGCAATCATCAGAGGCTTTTTAAAATTATTTTTAAAAGCATTTTTTCTACAACCTCTTCAGCCAAAAAAATGTTTTTAAAATTAAAAAAAAAAAGCCTCTGAAGATCGCGGCTCAGCTGGGATCGTCAGAGGCTTAGAAAAAATGCTTTTAAAAGCCTCTGACAATCCCAGCTGAGTTGCCTGATCATCAGAGGCTTTTAAAAGCATTTTTTTACAACCTCTTCAGCCGAAGAGGTTGCAGAAAAAATGGTTTTAAAAGTACTAAAAACCTCTGACGATCAGGCAACTCAGCTGGAATCGTCAGAGGCTTTTAAAAGAAAAAAATGCCTCTGACAATCAGGCAATTCAGCTGGGATCATCAGAGGCTTTTAAAAGCATTTTTTTACAACCTCTTCAGCCTCTTCAGCCGAACAGGTTGTAGAAAAAATGGTTTTAAAAGTAAAAAAAGAAAAATTGGCCACGCCCACCCAGTCACATTACCCCCCCACCAAGCCACGCCCACAGAACCAGTAGTAACAAATTTTACATTTCACCACTGCTGCAGAGTGGAGAGGGATTAAAGAGTCCGCACCCCTCCTTTTCTCAACCTCCAACTTTTACTTGGAGGCTGGTGGTAAAATGAAGAAACTGAAGGATATATATTGCTTTCTTTGGGTTATCCCACAATCCTTCTCTTCCTCTCCCAGTCAGCAGCAGCAGCCACTTACTGATTACTGGAAAGGAAAGAGAAGAGAGGGGAAGGGGGAAGAGAGGGAACAGGGAAGAAGGAACCTCTGCACACTCTTCCTGGCCGTTTTCTCCCTCTCACATACTTCCCTAGCTTGTGCTGCCCCCCCCCCCCCCCCCCATATGCCTTCCCCAACCTGAAACCCTTTCAATTATTCTTGCAAAATTATTTTCGGTCTATGATTTGTTGTGAGCAACTTATATTCAACACCCAGAGTTCTTATGGTAAATGAGCATCTTTACAGATTTAATAAATATAAATAAATAAAATACAAGCACTTCAATATAATAAGAACTCATATAGAGAGTCAGTCTGGTGTAGTGGTTAAGGTGCTGGTCTAGAAACTACACAACTGTGAGTTCTACAGGTAGTCCTCGACTTACAACAGTTTGCTTAGTGACCGTTCAAAGTTACAATTACACTGAAATGAGCATCCACATGGTCATGTGATTTACAGTTGGCTGCTTGACAACTAACATTTATGACGGTTGCAGTGTCCCGGGGTCATGTGATCACCTTTTGCAACCTTCTGACAAGCAAAGTCAATGGGGAAATCAGACTCATTTAACAACCATATTACTAATTTAACAACTGCAGTGATCCACTTAACAAATGTGGCAAGGGAAGTCATAAAATGGGGCAGAATTCACATAACAAATTTCTCACTTGGCAACATAAATGTTGGACTCAATTGTGGTCATAAATTGAGGATTATCTGTAGTCCTGTTGCGGGCATGAAAGCCGGCTAATGAAGGTGGTATACAAATCAAATATATAAATAATCTAAGCTATTGACTAAACCTACTCTCCTACCCAGGGGTGAAATGTAAAATTTATTACTACCGGTTCTGTGGGCGTGGCTTGGTGGGGGGGATGTGACTGGGTGGGCGTGGCCAACTTTTTTTTTTTTTAACTTTTCAAAGCATTTTTTTGAATGCTTTGACGAGTTGATGATCAATCAACTCAGCTGGGATCGTCAGAGAGGCTTTTTAAAAAATGCTTTGAAAAGCCTCTGACGATCCCAGCTGAGCCACACAATCATCAGAGGCTTTTTTTTTTTCTTTTAAAAGCATTTTTTCATCGGAAGAGGTTGTAGAAAAAATGCTTTTAAAAGTAAAAAAAAAGCCTCTGATGATCGTGCGGCTCAGCTGGGCATGGTGGGGGGGGCAGGGATTTTTTCTACCAGGTTCTCCGAACCACCCGCCACCATTGCTACCGGATCAGGCGATCCGGTCCGAACCGGGAGCATTTCATCCCTTCTCCTATCCCACCTTCTCAAAATGCAGTCATTGTTTCTGCCATGTTTCCTGTGGTTGACTGTTCCCTTCTGTCTTCATGGGCCATGTCTTCAGTCCACTTCAATCCTGCTCGACATAGCATCTTCAGTTCTCTTGCTCTAGCTTTCCAAACTGCTTCTCAGCCTCTCTCAAAAGTGAAACTCCCAGTTCTTCATGCACCACGTTGACTCATTTGACAGGATTGCTCTGATATTCTTCAGATGAAACCTCATTAAACCTCTTTTCCATTTCTTTCTCATGAATAGTTTTTCTGTCATTAGAGGACAGAAACTAGCAGGGTGCTAGTTTCAAACATCATTTCCTTCTCACTCTGCCTACCACACCCAAAGAGAGGATTTTATATTCATTTTTGAGGTAACTTTCTTCCTTGTCACCAAGATTAGTTTCTTTTTCCTCCATACTTTGGCCTGTCCCATTACATAACCTTTAGCACTGACCTAGTTAAACCTAGAGTCGGGAACCACTAGCACATATGTGCGAGGGGAATCTTTACCTTAGTTAAACTATAATCTGGAGTTTACAATAAGAGCTTTTTTTATCTCTTCCCCAAATCTAAGATTCAATCTTCTGCACCCTTCAGTTATCCATTTTTTTTTATCTTTCTTGCCTTGAACCTCCTTTATGGCAACTTAGAGTTAAGAGTTTTATGCATTTACTAAGTTACTATTATTGAGGCTGGGCCAATTTTACACTAGGAAAAGTTAGTCAATGTTAGATAATTGAACAACAAGAAAGCTTATGTGAGATTCAGTATACTGGCCAAAGGATCTGATAATACACCCTTTCTGAACCATTCCTAATATTGATATTATTTAAGTAAATAATAGCTCTAACTTTAAACATTACAGCAATTATTCTGAAGAACTATATGTATGTAAGTATGTATCAGGGGTGGGTTCTAAATTTTTTTACTACCGGTTCTGTGGGCGTGGCTTATTTTGTGGGTGTGATTTGGAGGTCATGTAACAATTCTTTAGGATTTAGCAGAGGTACTGGTCTACCAGGCTTTTAACTGCTTGCAGAGCTGTACCGGTCTACCCATTTGTTCTTGGAGCGTTCCGGTCTACCTATTTTTTTTTTGAGGCACCGGTCTACCCATTTGTTTTTGGAGGCACCGGTCTACCCATTTGTTTTTGGAGGCACCGGTCTACTCATTTGTTTTTGGAGGCACTGGTCTACCCATTTGTTTTTCGAGCCCACTGGTCTACCACCACACTGCCTTTTAACACTGATCAGCTGTAGGGCGGCCCTTTGAAGCCCCGCGGCAAGAGTTTAAACAGTTTTTTTCCTTCTAGCCGATCAGCTGGGACTCGAGAGGCAGTGAATAGATTCGGGGCGGGGTCAAATAAAAGGTAAGAATAACAAGGGGGGCGGGAGGGCCCAGCCCCCGAACAAAGAGCACTGGTTCAGTGATATCATATCATCACC